GATATCATATATGTCATATTAAACTATGTATATAATATGATGTCATCCTGTATATATTACATCATATTATACTCTATATATTGTAAAATGTGTGATACAGAGAGTAAGCCATGTAGAGAAAGAAGGTAAGAAAAAAAAGGGAGGGAGGCGCGATATTCTGAAAACTTAACGGTATGTGTAGCCTAATAACGTAACCTAACGTATTCGCTCAAGGGAAAACAAGCCTCGAGGAAGAATTTGTTATCTTATACATGACTGGTGCTTAACTTTAACATAGAGAAGTTAGTTTCATGTCCATAATTCAATAAAGAATTCAGTTAAACTGTCATTACTAAGACCGTTACTATTATATGAGAGATAATTATGAAAGCGAAAGGGTCTGTATATACAGTAGTCGCAGACGGATATGTAAACCTTGTACGCGAATCATCGATTTTTTTTGTTGTAATGCTTGGTGAATAGACTACACCAAGAGAGCATGATATTGATATAGAGCACTAGTTTGAAATTTGAACATTTTCTGTCGTGTCAACATCTAAGGTCGTTTAGAATATGCAAAAGGGTGGAGTTTGGAGGCGAAGCCCTTGGGTTTTTTTTTTTTTCATTAGGCGATGTTTGTGGCTTTCCAGAATAGCTAATTGCCAAAACAAATAAATGTGCCAGACATCAAAGGTGATATAACTTCATGAAAAAATACTGTGACGAAAAGGGTAAAAATGAGTTAACGAATAAGATAAGTAGGCAGAAGAAGGGGATGGAGAAGAGAAGGAAAAGAGAGGAGAAGGAACCGAACAAAATTGGTCGAGGCTAGGGGTTAAGGACCAAGATTGGGGTGATCCCCTGCATTGGGCCCGGTCTCGGTCTCTTAACCCCACCCCCACAACAACGAGCAATGGATTGAGGGGGGGGGGTAGAACATAGTCATTATAATTCCATATTGCGGATATTGTCTGTCTATCGAGTTTCATCACAATTATTCTATGAACTGCTATTCCATGTACAACAGTGGTTGATAATAATCATTTAGCTTTGAGACAAGAGTCTACGGGATGTAAAAGCCAAGTATGACAGTGTGATGTTGTGACTGCAAGAATCAGGCATGGATATAGAATGTATTGACAGGCCAGTACAGCTTGTAATGTCGAAGAAACTAAGTGTAACCTGTGTAATGAAGAATATAAGCGAACACTTGTACATTATATCTCAGAGTGCCATGTGTTACAGCCTTTCAGACCACCTAGCATGAGGTACGGATAACTATGTAACTACTTCATATCATCTGATGTCTTAGAAGATATACTTACGTTGTATCCTGAATTTGGAATGTAGTATCACAGGGCTGCATATCAAATGTATTAATGCTTTTCCACGCCCAAGCTATATACCGGCGTAGCAGATAAGTAGATGAAGGACTGTATAATTGTTCCTTTCCTTGAACTGATAGAGTACTTATCATAACAATGTTATGGGATAATATCCAAATGTAATACCATTATGTAATGTTATGACCATGCATTAAATGTACCACAGCCTGCCCACGCCTGTGCAGTTAGCCAGGGTGGTAAATAAAGGACTAAACTAAACTAATTAATTGGATTACATCGCTTGTTGGAATTACTAAGCATGATCATGCTGACCGTTTTGCTAATAAACCCATTGTATTTTTTCCGTGTATTTGTTCTCCATTGCCTGACCGCCTGAGATTGCGTTGTATCATCACTGACAGCGAGAAGCCGAAGGTTTACCAAGACATTTAGACTTTGTTTAATGACGTGAAAGTCTCATAACTGCAGTTAAACACTACAGTGTGCCTGGAGAGTATACCTTGCCGTGGCGTAGCTAAGGGGGGGGGGGAAATCAGAATTTGACACGGATGATTGAGTAAATTAATCCAATTACATATGTAATTTTGAATGACATCATAGATGCTATTGCAAAGAAATTATGACTGATGATTCTTTTGTCATTAAAAAGAAAAAGTATTACTTACAAAGAAGCGCATCTTACTTTTTACTAAGTGTTTATTATGACCATGCATTAAATGTACCACAGTCCTGCCCCACGCCTGTGCAGTTAGCCAGGGTGGTAAATAAAGGACTAAACTAAACTAATTAATTGGATTACATCGCTTGTTGGAATTACTAAGCATGATCATGCTGACCGTTTTGCTAATAAACCCATTGTATTTTTTCCGTGTATTTGTTCTCCATTGCCTGACCGCCTGAGATTGCGTTGTATCAGCATTGACAGCGAGAAGCCGAAGGTTTACCAAGACATTTAGACTTTGTTTAATGACGTGAAAGTCTCATAACTGCAGTTAAACACTACAGTGTCCCTGGAGAGTATGCCTTGCCGTGGCGTAGCTAAGGGGGGGGGGTAATTTTTCACCATCCCCGGCCACTGATGGAGAGGGACGCCCCGATGCCAGACAAAAGGAAATCAGAATTTGACACGGTTGAGTAAATTAATCCAATTATATATGTAATTTTGAATGACATCATAGATGCTATTGCAAAGAAATTATGACTGATGATTCTTTTGTCATTGAAAAGAAAAAAAGTATTACTTACAAAGAAGCGCATCTTACTTTTTACTAAGTGTTTAATCTTCTGTGTTTCTTTGTAGGAGAAACCCCATTAAATTCCTTGCGCGTTGTTGTCGGGGGGGTGGGGGGGTCACCCCTACCTTGGACCTCAGATACTTGCCTCAACTAATTTTGCTAGGTCTTTTCTTCTCCCCCTTTTCATTTCTTCTCTTCTTCATCACCCACTTCTGGCCATTTCCTAAGGTGTGAGAGCCGTGCTGAAAGGATGAAAGGTTGGCTTTGTCAAGTCATGAACGGCCTCCGGGAGCCTTGGGTACGGTATTCTTTTGGCTATCTAGCTCTTACCCCTTATAGGGATCCTGAGGGGTACACCGTTTCTTCTCCCTATTTATTTCACGCTTACTATGGCTGATAATGATGTTTTACCCTTACTAGGGCATTAAGGCTTGCCCCTTCATCAACTAGCCTATCTACATTTGATTTTATTGGTTTTCCGACCCCTACCTCTCCTTTGACCACGGCTCCGACTAATGGTAATAGTCCCTTCTTGATGTTTGTTGTCAACTCTATCCATTCCGAATTATCCACCCAGGTCATTACTCAACCCTCAGAATCCTCTCTCCCAACATCTTCCACTCCATCTTCTACTGCACAGTCGTCTTGATTGTCTACCCCCTCATTACTACTCTACATCCTTAGTCTCCTCCTCCCAACAGCACTACCTCTCCATACCACCCCTTCTTCCTCCCGCCCTCGTTATTCTACTGCTTCCACCTCTACAAACCTTTCGAGCACCCTTTTTGGCCCAGACAAGTGGGATGAATTCATTGATTCCCCTACAGTCCCATACTCTGACAATACCCTCCTCTTTCAACAATGTCTCCCAAAACAAATAGGCAAAGTTTCCTTTCGCAGTCGTTCGGATCGTTCACAATTACATCTGAATCTCACGCTAGTGCACACTATCTCCCCTGACTGACCTCGCTGGTAAACCTATTCCTGCCCAACCTCACTCCTCTCCCGTACTGCTTGTACCGGAACTGTTTCCGTCTCTCCAACTGTCCTGTCTACAACAAGGACTGGTCAGACTGTGAAAACTACTTGCTCGTATGCCTCATTGACTATGATGCAGTGGCAGTCCAGTGCTACACTATTCCTCCCAGAGGCCAGCGTAAGTCCTACAACAATATTGCCAAGATTAACTTCCATAGACATGACCTCCCCCACGAAGTTTATCTTGGTGGAGTGTCCTGCCCTGTCCCACCATATCGACTTCTTCCCCTCCAATGTCAGAAATGTTGGCGTTTTGGCCATCCAGCCAAATACTGTCGCTCCACAGCCCATTGTCCTCTATGTGGCCAGCCTGGTCATGACCATTCAAATTGCTCTGCTCAGTTACCCACGTGTGCCAATTGTGGTGGCTCCCATAATGTATTTTATAGGAGCTGCCCTGCATACAAGCTCGAATCTGAGGTAGCAAATCTGATTCAAAATAGGCCTCACTCTAGGTGAGACCAGACAAGAAGCACGCCAACGTTTTTTTCTCTCTCTACCAATTCAAACACTACTTCGTTCCACTCCCCTCCCATCTTCTCAAGAAGTCTCAGTTTCTCCCCCAGTATCTCTTCCCTTTATCCCGAACCAACCTATCTTTACTACCTCTCTCCCCCAGTCAAATTCCTCTTCTAGTCCAAATCCATATACTCCGATCTATCCCACTTCCCGTGTCTACCCCTCCTCCTCCTCCTCACTCAACCTGTCGCACCAGACAGTCTAAACGTTCCACTTCATCTTCTGCCACATCCTCTTCTACACTCAACTATCCCTCTGCTCCTCGGACAGCCATTTCCTCTTCACCACATAATTCAGTTATTCGCTCTACATTCAAAAGTATCTGCCAATATCAGCCCTCCTCTTTCTCAAGTTCTCCCTACTCCTTTTCTTCCCACTCGCCAAAAAACATCCTCTTCTCCTCCATGTGCAATACCATTCTGTGCAATCCCCACTGCATTCCATTTGCTACCCCTCTATACCCTTATCACTAATATTCTATCCTACAGCGTTCTGCAACCTTCAATCATTAACTCAATTTCCATCCTTTTCTCCACAATATGTTACCTTTGATGTCTAGAATATTTATTTCTTCTAACCATTAACCATTAACCATTTGTAGGGGGGGAAATGAGTTCATAAAAATCAGTAAATGTTTTTACTTCTGTCATATTTATTCATCAAACCAAAAAAATATAGAGGGACTTCAGGGGCCCCTGTGACCAAATGTTGAATTATGCCACTTTTCCCTTCTTAGCATCATCTCTCTCACATGCTTAAATTCTATAGCACGAAACACTGATTAATAGGTCAAAATCTTGCATGTGGTTCAAGTTTGACCTTGAATAAAGTGTATAACCTAGTCATAATGCTGCTATAGACATTGAGGATAAAGTGAGACTCATTGTAAATACAAACTTTATTTACATAAGCATATTATATAAAATCTTGAAATATATATCTTTCTTATGAACAAGCATTTATCTTTTGCATGCTTGGGACAATATACTGACCAGCCAGACTTGGTCCTTCTCTTAACAAAAAGGGTGACTATGGTCTTCCTTTCATAGGTCCTCCAGTTCAAAGTAAACTGTATAACAGGTGTTACATCACAAAAGAAAAAAAAATAATAAAAAACATATATAAACAAAATTGCTCAATATTTTACTCATGCAGCCAACATAAAAAGTGTAAAACTTGTATGTGAAAGCATAAGAGGCTTATCATTGAATGTCAAAGATCATGATAATGCATGCAACTAACCAAGCCAAGGAACATTGGGGAATGCAGGAGTGAATATTACATAACCTGCGGAATGCCTATACAAAAAAAGGAACGAAGACAAAAAATAAAAAGGTAATGAAAAAAGATAACAATAATAAAAGAAAAAAAAATGTTTGTACCATTTCATGCTAGCTGATACCTTACAACATTAACAAAAAACAACACCTTTGGTTGCAGCAATACTTAATTAGGTTATTTGGGAGTGCCTTTAATAGGTTATCTTATACCATGTCTAATTACATAATAAATAAATAAAAAAAAGACAAAAATAGACAAAAGATAGACATGACATACCACAAGACCACTAGGAAAAGCTAAATTCAGTGCAAAGGGTGCATTAACCTAGAATTTAAGCCTACATCTCTTGTCTAAGGATTTTTTCAGTGACTAGTCTGCTGAGATTAGTATCATTATTGAGTCTGAGTAGATGAAACCTAAAGGACATAATATCATCCAAGCTTTCACTAATTAATAAAAAAAAAAGAAAAAAAAAGGATATAGTGTATCTTTAAGTATGAATATTATTATACTTTCAAAGGGGCTCTTGACACTCAATGCACTACATGACAAAATAAATTTGACCAAAACTGATAAATATTTGGTCTGGATAGGTTTATAATAATCAAAACATTACAGTGCTGGTGGCAGGGATAGCTGCCTGAATTGAGCTTACGTGAATGGAGTTTGTCCAAAAATATTATTACAATGGAAAGTGAATAGTCCTAATAAAGTACTGTGAAAAAATAGGGATGAATTTGCAATGTCTAGTGTTACCGAGTCTCTACATAGGGTACAAAAAATGTTGCATCCAAAATATGCTACAAAAGATTAATGCAGAACTTACATTGTTCACATCTAGCTCAAATGACTGTGGCCAAGATACAATGCATTTATAGGCAATGCTCTACATCCATAATATTGTCATCAATTATTAAAATGTAATAATAATAATGATAATGCTGATAAAACAGATAAATAGAATGGGAGCACTGATAAAACCTGCTTTTGTCAACAGAAATATTTTAACAATACAAAAACTAACCGAAATATGAACATGCTTCTTCAAGATATACCACACATTTGGTCAAAGACAGGAAAGAGAAGAGGGAAGCATAGAGGAACATGAAGAAGTACAGAAATGAGAAGGAAAAAGAGATGAACAGACTTGCATTATATGTATGCATCACATATAGACAAAACAGATATGAATTGCACACAAAGAAACCAAAAGAATAAAAGACATTTGTGGAAATAGATGAAGAGGATATTAATGTGAACAACCAAACAGATGTAAAATTACACCGATTCATGAAGCACATTACAGGATTCTTACACAACAAAGGCAACTGGTGGAATATTTATCAAATCATATTTAAACATTTAGATACAACAAATATTTACAAAAATTTAGAAAAAAATCAAAGATAACATTTACCATTATTATTTTCTTCTTAAAAAATGTCTTCACTGGGGAAAAAAACCCTGCTTGTGAAGCCACAGGTTATCTCTAATGTCTCATTCTATATACACAATAATGTGTCATGCATTTAAAGTTTAAAATCATCATGCTGAAAAAAAGCAAGCTTAACATTTATGACAGCTGGAAGCCTGTAAGGATATGGTTCCATAACAAAAGAGGAATGTGCAAGGAAATCCTAGCTACATCTGTCTTTACAAAAAGGGGTTTCAATAAGAGGAACACACACACACCTTGGGACAAACAGATTAAAAAGATAACTTAACAAAACATTTTATCATTGTTTTTTATAAAAGGTTATTCTAAAAGCACACAAGTACAATAAGAATTATCTACTTCTAAATCCTTCACAGGTTGATGACATCCTCAAAATCCTACTTCAAGACCATGACAATCATCATATGTAGAAAAACTGCATTCTGGATTAAGCATCCAGTTTATTTCATCACCATTCCTATCACTAGCCATAATCTGAACTCCCTTAGCACACAATGAACAACCAAGAAAGAAAGAATAAAATAATTCACAATTATATTTCAGCTACATGCAAAACAACCCTCATGTCTCCTGGCTAAACCTATCATTACAAACCATGCTAAGGACACCTAGTTTGCACTGTCTCTGGCATGCACTGTCAGTAGCTGAGTCTCCTCTGTGACATGTCACGAAAGTAGAAAGACAAGACTTTACAGTTGCACTTCGTTTCATCAAGATGATGCAAATGGATATAAAATAAACAATAATACCTCCTCTTATAATATAACCTCCTACATTACTTTTATCAGATACCATAAGCAGACTTCAGATATACTATATATCAATGATTATTTGTTTCAACAATCAAAAGTTATATATATTTTATACATGTGTGCATGTGTGCTACACTCTCCGAGCAAGCAGTCAGTTTCAAACAGATTTTACAGACATGAGAAAAGCACTTGATATCACAAGTAATGCAGTACTTCCTTTTCTCAAGGCTAAAATGAAACAGGTCCTTTAAAGTGCAACTGTTCATTCTGGGTAAAATAAACAGGGCACTAATTAAAATATATATACTTTTTTCATTTCTTTTCTCCTTTTTTTCATTTGGATTATACACATTTCACAGAGTGCAGTGTACTAACATGTGCTAACAGTGTATTGCAAAAAATAGAATATAAAGCAGTGAGTAGAATGAAATCAATTTAAAAGGAATTTGTAATTTGTTTCCCTAAAGTATCTCTATAGCTACTAACACTGTGGTAGCCTATTTTTTTCATCTCTTACAAAAAATACATGTGATTCTATCTATACAATATCTGTCGTGCAAGTATCATAGTGAGCAATTACAGCTAAAATATTTTTAATCAGTATTTCTGTGTAGATGAAACATTTAATCCCAGGAAAATTACTCTCACTAGGAAATTACATCCCATGCCAATTTTCTGTCACTCAAGTTTTCCCTTTTCTTTCTTACTCCTCCTTACTCTCTTTTACTCCTATTCCATCACACTCATTCATTCATTTATCCCTTCTTTCCAACTCTAACACTCATGTTCTCACATTACACTTGCAAAAAATCTGCCCTACTGTGCTGAAAGTTCATGTATGCTGACTGATAAATCAAGCTAAGTGTAACTTCATATAACTTCATAATATATGTGTGTGTGTGTGTGTGTGTGTGTGTGTGTGTGTGTGTGTGTGTGTGTGTGTGTGTGTGTGTGTGTGTGTGTGTGTGTGTGTGTGAGTGAGTGAGTGAGTGAGTGAGTGAGTGAGTGAGTGAGTGAGTGAGTGAGTGAGTGAGTGAGTGAGTGAGTGAGTGAGTGTGAGTGAGTGTGTGTGTGAGAATTCCCTACAATCCTAAAGTTTCATAAGCTCTAACTACCCTGTTTTATCTAGTACCTGAATGTGAAGGCGTAAGCACTCTATCCTCAGTTTCTATTTATCATGTAGAGGGATTGTTACCTAACCTTGTGCAAGGGACCCTTTCACATCACTAAACTGAGGGACTAGCAATATTTTTGCCTTTAAAAACTGATGCACATTCACCTAATACTATAATCTTTCACATGTGGTACTGAATCCTTGAATAAAAAGAGTATGCTTAAAAAATTTTACACTGATTACTCAGACCGATCTTGCAATGAAGTTCCCTAAAAATGTACAATGTCAAATGAAGTGTCCTAAAAAAATATACAGTGTCAGACAAATAATAATATTAGTTCATGATAAATTAATATTGACATAGGAGCCTTTTACACTGTATACACAAAGTCATGGACCCCTGAGGTGCTCCAGAACGTCTGAATTTATTGGACATATATAAAAATCTACTTTAACAGAATGAATCTACAAAATGAGGTTAATTTTTTTTTTTTTTTTACAGAAAAAATATATATTTATTATTTTATACACTATAAATTACTAGGTCTAAAAACTTTGTCATTCCTTTATCTTTGCCTGATGTGGAATTGCAAGAAAAGTTTAAATATTGTGAATTCATTGTGAATATGAACATGGTTATGCATGTAGTAAAGTTGTTATATTACAAAGTATTCAAAGACAAACACCAATATTAGACACCGCTTGGTACCTCTCTCTTTCGGATAATCATTGTGTATATATTACAATATAAAATCACTAGCCGATTAATTCCCATTATCATGAAACCTAATCATATTCATTCATCATGTGTTTACCTTTAAAGGTTGTTTCCGAGATGTAATGCACACTTGCTAACAAACAGTATGAAGAAGAAAGATAATACTTACATTATTATAATCAATATCAAATGATCAAAGCACTGACCTTCCCATACCTGGAAGTCTCACAATAAATTCATGCATTTGTGATGTGTTTTCAAATTGCTTCAAAGTTCCTTTCAGCCACACAAAAAAGGGGGGGGTGGGAATTCGAGCAATCTAATAAATGCCTTCTGTTACATCATCACACACCACAATAAATGTATACCACACCGGGCTGTAAAGCTTCTTTTCATCTAAGTCTGTCAATATAATGCTCAGCATTTGGGGGCCCATTCGCCATAATTATTCGAAGACTAAGCTCTGTGCTGGATAGTATGTCCAAGTGCTGTGTTGCGTTGATGCTCCAGGCTAAGCCACTCACACTGCTCCTCCTTTAGGTCAAGGGCAGCAAGACGGAGGTAGCAACTCCCGAGGTAGACATTCTCGCTGAACTTGTCCTCACTCCATACACTAATTTCTAGCACCCTCTGTTTTATGATGTCTTGGGACATGCGGTAAGTGATCTGAAAAGGTACAGAAATTAAATATGTAAAAGCAAAATTTATCAAACAAATTAATGAGTACTCAAGTCCCACACAATGGATAAGCATAATGATAATCATGGTAAGTAGTGTATGGTGGAACTAGAAGAAGCTACAATTAGATACATCACTGCTAAGATCAAACCTTTAAAAATGGCAGCAGTAAAAAAAATAATAATAATTATAAAACTAAATGAACTTAATGGCAATGCCCTGGTTAGTGGCTATTCAAAATTACACAAGGTTAGTAATACAGCAAAAAATGGACATGGTAGTAGTATCACAATTTTACACCCAAGGGACTTTTACTTTTATGGGATTAGGCTAGTCAAATGTGTGGGCTCAAAAGATAAATCATATCCACTCCACTTTTAATTCAGGTGAGTGGCTCGGCATCACTGGACACTCACTGGTTCCATGAAGGTCGGGTGACATGTTTTCTTCACAACCTTCGTCTTCCTTTTGGTCTTCTTGTGGGGGTCTGGCAGGAGATAAAGTTTGACATATGGGGACGGCTCCTGCCCAGGGCTTGTCAGGGACAGGTTGCGGGCGTGGTGCACCATGATCTGCAGCTGACCTCTGAGGTACTGCACACTGACTTTAACCTGACCTTGCACTTGCCCAGCACTGTTTGGTGCCCCAGATGAGATGCTTGACCTTGTATCTGGGAAAGACAGATTGATTTTGACTCTAACTTTGAGTTGGATTGATAACATTTTGTGAAAGAAATGGCATGGATAAGTGGGTGCAGACATTTACCAGAGATACATGGTATTAAACAGAATTGACTAACTGATTGATAGATAGGTAGATAAACAAAACCTGTAGATACAAATGAGACAAGAAGATACTGATAAATGAGGCAGGCAGGCAGGCTGCAAAAATTTCCTACAGCAATTGATACAGTGCCTTATCATTGAATGGAGTTGACATATGTATAAGTTTAAATTTATTCTTTTGAAAAATTTAACAAGTAACCTCTATAGCATATTCTCACAACAAATTACTTAAAACTTGCATCTCTAATGAATTGTCTCCCATAAGAAAAGAAAAAATCATAAGTATTCCTCTTTGAATATGAAATGTTTGTCTCAGAAATCTCTTCATACCTAATAGTCTCATAGCTGGAGAGGTTTTACTAAAAAAAAGAATATCTTAAACCTATACCTATCATAAAACAAGAAAAATGCATAAATACATTAAAATAAATAAATAAATATAAAAGAAAGGAATGTAAATTCACTTTCTCTCTTCAGACAAAAACAGACCTAATTACCCCACAATTTTTTTAAAGTACCTTTACCCTTCAGCTTCTTCAAATGGATATCTGTATCCTCTTGGTCCCTGAGGAGTGGGTGGAAGAAGGTGTAGACGAGGTCCGAGTGGGAAATCTCCGGCGCAAGGTCAAACAAGGTTGCCAGGAAAAGCTCAATCTCCAGCTTCCTCTTCTCAGCTACCGCCTTCACCTCCGACCTTCCAATCTGCACGCCCTTCGGTATGCTGGGCACAAGAAGGAAAATAGGTGCTGGTGTTTCAAATTATTAACTTACATTATTATTTGCCTTATTAAGATGACAAAAATAATCATTTCTTTTCTAATATATCAGAGTTGTAAATCATAGTATCATCTATCTCCATACAGTGTTTAATTACTGTCAGGTATATATATTTTCAATCTTTTCTATATCACTTCAAGCAAAACAGTTTCTCAAATTCTGGATTTATCAAATGTACTCATTTGAGGGTATTGCATAGTTTCTTTAGTCCATTTGCTAGTTAGTTCATCCTGTAAAACTGAAGAAACATTTCCCCAAAGCTTCCCTTTACCTGTGTATTCTAGCCAGAGGGAAGACAAGGCACAGCTTCTGATGGAACTCTGAAAATTCTCTGTAAGAACGGAACAGATACGTTGGCTCTCTCTGGTTCTCTCGGTCAACTTGCAAGATGTACACATAGTACTTGTTGGGGTTGTAGCGCTTTTGGTAACTGTAGAGTCGTACCATGCGGATCTTGCCATCTTGTGCTGCCCTGTAAATCATTTATGACAAAAACACATTTATAAAAATGGAATATAATCTGCATCTGAGAAATAAAAAATAATACAATACTCTGCTTCAAAAACTAAATAACCTTCTCTAGCTTTTATGCCAAAAAAACTCACGTATAAGTCCGAGGAATGAAGGAGAGGAAGAAGGTGTAGACGAGGTCCGAGTGGGAAATCTCCGGCGCAAGGTCAAACAAGGTTGCCAGGAAGAGCTCAATCTCCAGCTTCCTCTTCTCAGCTACCGCCTTCACCTCCGACCTTCCAATCTGCACGCCCTTCGGTATGCTGGGCACAAGAAGGAAAATAGGTGCTGGTGTTTCAAATTATTAACTTACATTATTATTTGCCTTATTAAGATGACAAAAATAATCTTTTTCTTTTCTAATATATCAGAGTTGTAAATCATAGTATCATCTATCTCCATACAGTGTTTAATTACTGTCAGGTATATATATTTTCAATCTTTTCTATATCACTTCAAGCAAAACAGTTTCTCAAATTCTGGATTTATCAAATGTACTCATTTGAGGGTATTGCATAGTTTCTTTAGTCCATTTGCTAGTTAGTTCATCCTGTAAAACTGAAGAAACATTTCCCCAAAGCTTCCCTTTACCTGTGTATTCTAGCCAGAGGGAAGACAAGGCACAGCTTCTGATGGAACTCTGAAAATTCTCTGTAAGAACGGAACAGATACGTTGGCTCTCTCTGGTTTTCTCGGTCAACTTGCAAGATGTACACATAGTACTTGTTGGGGTTGTAGCGCTTTTGGTAACTGTAGAGTCGTACCATGCGGATCTTGCCATCTTGTGCTGCCCTGTAAATCATTTATGACAAAAGCACATGTATAAAAATGGAATATAATCTGTATCTAGAAATAAAAAATAATACAATACTCTGCTTCAAAAACTAAATAACCTTCTCTAGCTTTCATGCCAAAAAAACTCACGTATAAGTCCGAGGAATGAAGGAGAGGAGAAGATCATCTGAGTGGTCTCCTGTAAACCTCAGCTGTGCCAGATTGTGAATGAAGAAGTTCACCTAGTAAAAAATAAATAAATAAATAGACATATACTAGCTATACTATCTTCAGGTTATATAAATGTTTTTATATTGGCTTAATTTGCTTTTCTTTATTTATTACAAAAGCTTTATCACTAATCAATGACAGCAATATATAGTCCTATATATAATGCCATCCAAATGATCCAAAATGCAGGAATGCAGTGAAGGAACATAAAAAGAAAGAAAAGCAGATGTCTCTATACTCTAATACAACACATTCTCCACAGAAAGGTAAAAAACAAAATAATATGTAAATCTCTCTCATCTAACCTGTGTGAACCATGACTTCAGAGATTCCTGGATCATGCGTGAGAACATTGCTCCAGCCTCAGCATTGGTCTTGTCTTGCAGGAGTGCACGTTGAACGTATGTCACTGCATCCCATGTTACTCCCGGAATACCAGAAGAGGCCATCTAATCACAGGAATAAAAGCATCTTACTTCCTCTCATTATTAGATGGTGTTTAATATAGCATTTCCCAACCTCGGATAAATTATCCCGAGGACAAATTTCTTTGGGGGAATATAGATTTAGTAATATATTTATCAATAATAAAATTAATCCATAAATCCACATCAACCCCCAATCCTTTGCTTGTTGTTGTCGTGGGGGAGCTTAGGAGATGGAGACTGAGGCCCAATGTAGGGGATCCCCCCTGCCTTGGTCCTCAGCCCTCACCTTAACTAATTTTGCTTAGTATTTTCTATTCCTCCTTTCCTTTTCCTTCTCTTCTTCATTCCCTTGTTCTGTCCACTTATCCTAATCATTAACTCATGCCCTTTTTACCACAAAACTTTACCATAATGCTCCCATAACCCTACAATGACAGTACCAAAGTCCTACGGATTTCACACTTTCTGGTGACTTCTGGTAACTATCCAGCCATTTGGCCAGGGAGTCTGTGTGCAGCGGAACTTCCCACTCGACTTGCTCGTCATGACACCTATAGTCGTACTCATCAAGACAAGTTATTTTTCATACTGGCTATAGGTGTGCCCAGTTATAAGATGTTAACTCCTTCCCCTTCTAACAATCTTTACCTTATGCGTAGCATGGCCCATCAGCTCCCCCCCTCTACCATTTTCACTATCCCCTAGTACAGTTCATGCCTCACACTATTTTTATATATTGAATACGCCACTAATGACTTTGATGTTGACGTGGCAGAGAATTTTGGATAAATAACAATAAATAACTATCTACATCAAGGGGGAATTTGGGATGGGGTGATTTGGCGGATGGGATAACACAGTAAGTTTGGAAAGAACTGGTATAACCCATCTTTTTCTATCAAATTTTCAAGTCTTATCTTTTAATTACATTGGGATAATAGTTCTATATATATATATGATATTCTTAATACATTTTAAAAAATACTGATATTACTTAATATTCTTGCCAACAAAGATATACAAACAATGCAAACAAAGCCTAACTACAAATAGCATCAATGCTTCATTTCCTCCAATTAACTTACAAGAGCAAAAAGATACAGCAAGAGGTGGCCATTGTGCCTGATAATATTAAAGGCCCGGCAGCAGAGGTCAACAAAGCCTTGGAACTTGTCCGAAGGCTTCTCTCCTCCATTGATGACATAGGCCATGTCTGATGTCAGCACGAAAGGGGTTCGGTCCCTCTTGAAGCTCCCAAATTTCTGCGCGTCGCCTAAAAACTTGCCAAAGTCTATATGGAACAAGTGGCCAGAAGTTTTAAGCATGATGTTATCATTGTGGCGGTCGCATATCCCCAGGATGTAAGTCGCAACACAATAGCCAGCACAGGAAGCTGAAAAGAGTAGTAATCCAATATAGCACATATAGTGTCCACTGTGCTCTATTAAAAAACATTATGAAATAAGGTAAATATATGAGGTCAGACAGGCCTAGTAATTGGTAAACAGTACATCTGGAGTAACTTGTATGTAAATAAAATTAATTAGTTAAGTCCACAGTGGGTATGAACTACCAGAATCACTGCATCAAAATATATTTGTCATATATTCATATAAAAGCAAATGCATTATCTTTTTTTCCTAAAGCTGGCACAAAAACTTTTAAATATTGCCAAGGATTGTTTATGTATGGTGTCCACCCTGAAGGTGCATAATCACTGCATTTTAAAAGAACTCTTGTACAACCACAAAAGAATTCTTGTACAACCACAAAATAACTATCATATAAAGTATTATCCTTTCAGGCCCCTGGTAGTGTGCTTTGGATGAAAAGTAGCAGCTTGTGGAATGACAGCAGTGAAAAAGTATGATAACCAGTGGATTAGCAATTTCTGCTTAAGTTATAATCAACATATATCATAAACTACTTATCCAAATCTTATAAACAATGTATCATTATAGAGTACTATCCTTTGCAAACAGTGTTGTGTTGTTTAACTCCAAGCCACTGGGGATGGCATATACATACATGTCTTGCCTACTATGAGTAATTTATTAATTGTTTTTACACATAAATGGTTCCACAAGTACTAATTCACCAATGAGCCAGTTACAAGTACTACCTATCTCACCTGTTTACCCTCTTCCTTAATTTTTAAAAATATTTTCTGGTACCTAATACTGCTGTTAGCAACGTCAATAACAACAGCATAATTATAAAGTCTATAATAAAAATAACAGCATCGACATTGATATCTTTAGTAAAAGAAAAAAAAAGGTTTTCCTGCAAACTCAAGGAAAGATGAAATCAGACAAAGTCACAAGGTCTACTAATTGACTCCTTTGTGACTAAGTACTTGCCGAGACATTTCACAAAACAATAATATAGTCAACACATTTTCCCAGGGCCTTTGAGTTAAGCAGTAGCCTTGATAGATGATATTTTTACCCAACATATATTTCCCATAAACTCCTAAATTCCAGATCTAAATTTTATGAATAAGAAGTCATTATAAATTTGTGTTCAGTTACTTTCACTATGGATCTTGGCTGAGAGGCAGCAGAGGTGATACAAGTTATGCTTCTGCCTCAATTACTGACAACCACTAGATTGTCCAGGGAAAGATTAAACTTCAATGAATGACATCCATTGCATAACAGTTAAAAGGAAGCTCCTTACCAGTGAAGTTATCTACAGCTCTCTGGTACTCAAGCTGTGATGGATTCTGCTTAGCCAGCCATTCTGCAATTGGTCTGTCCTGGAATGATCCGGTCACGCCATACTCTGTTTGGATCTTACGGAGTGTCTCAGCATCTTTCACCAACTCGATGATTCCTGGAAACAAAGTCAGTTATCTTTAAAGTTGTTATAACAAACATTACAAAATTGTAATGATCTTTCTCTGCAAATGATTATAACACTTTTAATCCACAAAATCAAAATTTCTCTCAGAAAGCATAATATACACATAGGAACATTAAACCAAAGGTTTCTTCAGCAACCTACCAATCTTGTCTCCCGTAGGAACAACACTGAAAGTGACAACTTTGAGGTCCAGCCCTTCCTTCAGCCACAGTTTGTCCATCAGACGTATCATCTGAATAACCAACATGTCTTGGCGAAGATCATCTCCCACCTGTTGGTTCAAACACAAAATTTAAGAATTTCAATATTACAGACACAAAAAAGATACATAACAGGAACTTCATGATAAGTGAACATGAAATAGCCCCCTTACCCTCTTTTACTACAGACCTTTCTAAAGCTCATAAAGTTGATAAACCTACTTCCATACCAAAAGGCAGAAGGCTAGTATTAGTAATGCCACATCTAGCTTTCTACCCTACAAAAGGGAGAAAAAGAGTCATGCCTCCTTGTTTACTTACTTACACACTGGAAAAGCAGTGTGCCAGAAGCAAATAACTAGACTTGTACCTTAAAGATGGCATGAATGGGATCAGTATTATCCTCCGAGGACAAGAAGGCCAACTTGAGAGGAACCGTAAAGGAGTTGAAGTATGAACAGTTCTTGAGATCCACTCCAGCAACTTCCAGTGATGGGGACAGTGGCAGTGATGTAGGATTTTCCTGAAATTAATGATCTATGTGAATAATATCTATTCACAGTACAGTATTTAGCATGTGATCTGGTGTACACATTTAAGACATTTAGAATATGTAAAGAAGTTACAAGAGAAAGAGAGAGAGAGAGAAAGAACGTGAGAAAGAGCCAGCAAGTGAGAAACTGAGCAACAGGGAGAGGGAGAGGGAAAAAGAGAGTGAGTCTGCAATAGATAAATAATTGAATAAATGACAAAAAGATAGAAAGAGAAAGTAAATAACAAAGGAAGAGGTAGAGAATATTGAAAAAAAAAACTTTAAAACAGGAGTCACATATGTAGAAACTACAATTTCATTTGTTGATTAAAATCATCATAAGATACCAGAGAGCAAGTTCACACACACACACACACACACACACACACACACACACACACACACACACACACACACACACACACACACACACACACACACACACACACTCACACACACACACTCATACACTTACACACTCACACACTCACACACTCACACACTCACACACTCACACTCTCACACTCTCACACTCTCACACTCTCACACTCTCACACTCTCACACTCTCACACTCACACACTCTCACACTCACACACTCACACACTCACACACTCTCAAAGATAATTCTATTATTTTCCAAAGTGTCCAACCATGCAAGGCCTAAACTGCAATCATTCATACCGTCAAATTGTAGTGGATATTTTCCAGGTCTCTGCCGAGGACATGCATTCTCTGTGAATCCTTTGTGTCTTTGATGTTCATAGCTGTGGCATAAAGACTCTGAAAAATAGATACTTATTCATATATCTATCTATATATCTATCATTTTGTAACATTATTCTATGTCCTTTTTAGGATCCTCACAGATTTCATTCTCTTACTTTTCTACTGAAATACATTTTCAATTTACTATATATAAGTATAAATATAAATATAATTATAGATATAGATACAAACACAAAAACAAATATATAATTGTATGTGTGCATGCATGTGCATGAGTGAGTTTGTTTGTTTGTTTTTTGGTTTGTGAGAGTGTGAGTGTGAGTGTGAGTGTGAGTGTGAGTGTGAGTGTGATGGTGAGTGAGTGTGAGTGTGATGGTGAGTGCGTGTGAGAGTGAGAATGAGTGTTAGTGAGTTGAACTTCTTTGCCTCCCTCCCCCCTCCGGAACCCAGGACACAAAAATACCATGTAAAACTAACTCTTAGTATGGCCTCTTGTGTGAGAAGTCTGTTTTCCAAGTTCTTTCCACAGATGGCCATCAGAGCACGGGTGACAAGATTGAGCCTCCGGCGATATCTGGCATCACTCACCAATTCGCGTTCACCACCCATATTGGTCTGAAGGAAGTAATTAATGATATACTTTGTATATTCTGTACATATTTTGTTTCATTTCTAATTTTCAATATTCATTTCTGTATTATAAAATCTGGATAAGCATAATGTATATAATGCCATTAGTTTTACAAAAAAGTTGAATAGCCATGAAACATAGTAACAGTATTTTTCTATACACCTGCTGTGCATAAAAAAAAAACAATAATTATTTACACTTTCTAACCTCAACAGCAACACCCTAATCATAACAAACCTGAAGAGGAAGGCACTGGTTGAGTAACCAATACAGATGATGTGCAAGCCTGGGTGATGTTAGTGCTCGCTCTAACAGTAGTTCTGCTGTTGGTGAAATGTCCCATGCTTCATGCTTCACAGCCTGAACCAACTGTGGCAGGAAGCTTATGAGTTCATCGGATCCTAGACCTCTGATCCATCCCACTGCACACCCCCTTACCACGCTGTCAGCAAAACTGTAAGGACATTTAAGAAAATTATCATCATTTTCTCATTAATTACATGCAACATATTCAAGACTTATTAACAATAATAATTTATAAATTCAGTTAAGTGAAATACAATAACTTTGTCCTAATTACCTTCATTAATTATGAAATTAAATTCACATTCTCTTTTCAACCATGAATAAATAACGTCACATCTCACCATGGCAAAAGAAGATGTAGGGCATCCGCAGGTGCAGGAGATGCCCAATTCCTCACAAGAGAGTGAAGATCTGGCAGGCATGAGACATCCCATGAGTGTGCTGCCAGGAGTACCTTTGCTAGAGCAGCAGGTTCCTCATGAAGGTAGTGCCTCTTTTCCCAAAGAATTTCGCGCTCCTCCACTGAACCTCTGAAAGATTCCTTTGTATAAGTAACTACATATTTAAACATAGGTTTACATTTGTTATCAGCAGCATAATACCATTATGAATTCTAATCAACATAAAAAAAAAGGAATGCAGTCCCCAAATACTGCAGCAGCCACACTAATTGTTAGGCAACAATTCATCTTTCCCATTAGCCAAATGAAGAACATAAAATACATACTTGTTAAAGATAAATATGTCTCTCTCAATGATATCAGAGAGTTGCTGCTGAGTATTAAGATCTAGGGATGAAAACTCAAGCTTAGTTGGGGGCGGAATTTCTACTCTAGGGAAGTAAACTTCGCCACCGAAGTCCTTCAGTTCAACCGCTGCAATAGACAAAATTAGTAAATTGATAATAAATAAAAACTTTGGATGTTCTAATTGCTGTTCAATAAAACCCAGTTCTGAGGACCAATTCTACATGTACTTCAGATATGAAACATTACAGAAGAAAACTGACAAAGTATACCAGAATTCATTTATTCATAAATCTATAATGCTGAAGATTGAAAAAAAAAAGAAAAGAACAGAAAAACAAAAACAAACAAACAAAAAAAAACACTGCATCATACATCTAATACCAAGCCAAATGTCCCTGATCCCCATCACCTAAAACACAAAATCCATTTGATAAATCCAAAACCCCAGATAACTACTCACATAGGACAGGGCATCCGTGAACCCTAGGGTGGTCGGAGGAATAGGGAGCCGGCCCAAGACGCTTGTCACTCACCATGGGCCACAAGGTCAGGAGGTGTGACCCCTGAGTTAACTTCCTGCTCAACGAGAAGATGTTGTGTAAGGAAAATGCTGTATGAATCATAGTCATTCTGGATTTACATTTAAAGTCATTACAAAGAAAATATCCAAGGCTTAAATAATGAATAAGTAACAGATATAATAACAATAATAGACTAATAATAATAATAATAATAATAATAATAATAATAATAATAATAATAATAATAATAATAATAATAATAATAATAATAATAATAATAATAATAATAATAATAATAATAATAATAATAATAATAATAATAATAATAATAATAATAATAATAATAATAATAATAATAATAATAATAATAATAATAATAATATAATAATAATAATAATATAATAATAATAATAATAATAATAATAATAATAATAATAATAATAATAATAATAATAATAATAATAATAATAATAATAATAATAATAATAATAATAATAATAATATAATAATAATAATAATAATAATAATAATAATAATAATAATAATAATAATAATAATAATAATAATAATAATAATAATAATAATAATAATAATAATAATAATAATAATAATATAATAATAATAATATAATAATAATAATATAATAATAATAATAATAATAATAATAATAATAATAATAATAATAATAATAATAATAATAATATAATAATAATAATATAATAATAATAATAATAATAATAATATAATAATAATAATAATATAATAATAATAATAATAATAATAATAATAATAATAATAATAATAATATAATAATAATAATAATAATAATAATAATAATATAATAATAATAATAATAATAATAATAATAATAATAATAATAATAATAATAATAATAATAATAATAATAATAATAATAATAATAATAATAATAATAATAATAATAATAATAATAATAATAATAATAATAATAATAATAATATAATAATAATAATAATAATAATAATAATAATATAATAATAATAATATAATAATAATAATAATAATAATAATAATAATAATAATAATAATAATAATAATAATAATATAATAATAATAATAATAATAATAATAATAATAATAATAATAATAATAATAATAATAATAATAATATAATAATAATAATAATATAATAATAATAATATAATAATAATAATAATAATAATATAATAATAATAATATAATAATAATAATATAATAATAATAATATAATAATAATAATATAATAATAATAATATAATAATAATAATAATATAATAATAATAATATAATAATAATAATATAATAATAATAATATAATAATAATAATAATATAATAATAATAATAATATAATAATAATAATAATAATATAATAATAATAATAATATAATAATAATAATAATAATAATAATATAATAATAATAATAATATAATAATAATAATATAATAATAATAATAATAATATAATAATAATAATATAATAATAATAATAATAATATAATAATAATAATATAATAATAATAATATAATAATAATAATAATATAATAATAATAATATAATAATAATAGTAATATAATAATAATAAAATAATAATAATAATAATAATAATAATAATATAATAATAATAATATAATAATAATAATATAATAATAATAATAATAATATATAATAACAATAATAATATAATAATAATATAATAATATAATAATAATAATAATAATAATAATAATAATATAATAATAATAATATAATAATAATAATAATAATAATATAATAATAATAATATAATAATAATAATAATATAATAATAATAATAATAATAATATAATAATAATAATAATATAATAATAATAATAATAATATAATAATAATAATATAATAATAATAATATAATAATAATAATATAATAATAATAATATAATAATAATAATATAATAATAATAATAATAATATAATAATAATAATAATAATAATAATAATATAATAATAATAATAATAATATAATAATAATAATATAATAATAATAATATAATAATAATAATAATAATATAATAATAATAATATAATAATAATAATATAATAATAATAATAATAATAATATAATAATAATAATATAATAATAATAATAATATAATAATAATAATAATATAATAATAATAATATAATAATAATAATATAATAATAATAATATAATAATAATAATATAATAATAATAATATAATAATAATAATAATATAATAATAATAATATAATAATAATAATATAATAATAATAATAATAATATAATAATAATAATATAATAATTATAATATAATAATAATAATAATAATATAATAATAATGATAATAATATAATAATAATAATATAATAATAATAATAATATAATAATAATAATAATAATAATATAATAATAATAATATAATAATAATAATAATAATATAATAATAATAATATAATAATAATAATATAATAATAATAATAATATAATAATAATAATAATAATAATAATATAATAATAATAATAATATAATAATAATAATATAATAATAATAATAATATAATAATAATAATAATATAATAATAATAATAATATATTAATACTGACAAAATCATACTTGTAAACTGTACATAAACTGTACTCCTTTTCACTAAACCAAATCAAGAGCCAATTTTCTTTCCTACCTTTTGTAGCATCTACCGTGCGATCCACAGTGAAGTCCACCCTAAATGCTTTGGCGTACATGACCAGAAAATTATTAACAGCACCAGCTAATCGACTAAGTGCATCCAACAAGAGATGCTTCAGGTCTTCTGGATTGGTGGAGTCATGTGAACCTGTAGACAGGATGCGCTGCCCAGGGATGTCCTCCTCTCCGTCCAAGATGCCCTACATGTCATTAAAGAGTATTAGGGGTACCCTAGGGAACACACTCAAATATGTATGCATTTAAATTGCTACTACCTTCTTTAACATCAAGAGAACAAGAATACTCATAATTTCACTCTTATCACGTGTTACATTTACATCGCAAAAACAAAAATATATAGAAAGTTAATAAAGATAACACTATCTATCTTATCAATATAAAGTTGTATTATATTGAATTATCT